GGCCATGTGTGTGTGTGTGGCTGGGGTTGGAACTCAGGGCTTCACATGTGCTAGGCTATATCCCTAGCCAAGCTCTACTTCTTTTTGTGTCAAAGAGGCCCAAGAAAACCCCTGGTGTACCCACATTCTGTCCTCCATGGGCATGTGAGGGACCTGTCCTGAGCCCTCTGACCCATCTGCCTCGACTGCAAGTCAGATTCACAGGTGTGGCCTGGTTGCTTTCTCCTCGTCTTTGTTTTCCTAGAGGACGAGGGGTTAAGTATCATTTCACATTGCCATTTTACAACAGGACCTTGCAACTGTCCTGTGTCTTCCAGCAGGTCAACTCGGGGCCCTTACCAGGTGGGAGGTCTCTCCTTTCCAGAGGCCTTGATGTCCTTGGTCCCAGGGCTCTGAGGTCACCTCCGCTTGTTGCCACCCCAGCTTCCTTGGCTGCGGTGGCTTCAGTCTGATGAGTCATGTCACCCTTCTGCCCTGGGAACATTTCCTCTGTTATTTTTAAGTCACCACTCACACTTCCGTTTCTCTCTGAAACTCCCACTTGTCAGATGTTGTCCTCCTCAGCTCATTATCTGTGACTCTTATCTCCCCTTTGCACTTCTCCAGCTCTGTGCTTTTGAGATGTGTTCTGGAAGACTTGTTTGAACCTACATTCCATCTTTTATGTGGGATTTTAAGTTCAGCAATCACATGTCAATATCTTTTTTGTTCTCCTCCTGTACTTAAATGCTATCCCGTTCTTGCATTATGAACACACAGTTTTTAAGAAATTGTTCTGAGAGTAACAATTACTTTTTAAATTTTCTTTTGGTTACTCCTAGGTCTATGGCTCCTTAGTGTTCTCGTGTTGCTGGTTGTCTTTGCAAATCTGGAGATACTGGATGTACACATGTGATTAGGGGTCAGATCTAGAGGCTACTGTGGGTTTTCTGTGAACTCCTAAGTAGAGAAGTGAACTGGGGGTGCTGTGTCAACAGATGGAGTTTTTGGGCCGTTCTTTGTTTGGGATGGCAGGTGAAGGACTGGGCTGTAAGTAGGCGGTTCCCTCCCCATACCCAACAAACCCCAATTCAAGCTGGAGTAGCGACCTTACCCTGGACCCAGACTCATGTTACAAAACTGTGTCCCACTCAAGTGTCAACTCCATCTCTGAAAACTCTGAGCAGGAGCCCTTTCCTGTCTGACTGTTAGAACCTGCTTGGTGAAGAAGACAGAAATGGGGGGGTGGGGGGTAGAGCCAGGTGCTGCCAGCAGTGTGTTCTCAAACAACTGAATTATTACAACCACCCCCAGACCCCACCCCCAGTTTCAGTCCATGCTCAGGCCCACACCTCCCTGGGCACTGGGTCCCCTTCAGCAAGATGACAACAGCCTCAGACTCTGACCTGTGCATACCCTAGCTGTGCCCACTGCCCTGGCCACTGTTCCTCCCTTCCCTATCCACCTGCAGAAGCCAGGAGTCACCCTCCCCAATCATAGCCCTCCTCTCCATCCCACTCTGCGGGTATGGACTTCTGCACTCACTTTCTTCCAATCCCGGCCTGAGGAGGAAGGCCCTGAGGGCACTCAGCTCCCAGTGCCTGCTTCATGGCTTGCCACTGGTGCTCAGGACCACTCCTGGGAATCCACAAAACATGGGGGCATTCCACCACTTCCAAAGACCCAACCTAGCATTCCCACTGTTCTTAAAATGTGGAAACAAGACTAGACCAATGACTCTTCTAAGAGCATGAGTACTGAATGTCAAATGTTACTGCCATGTTGAATCATACCCTTTGACCTAGCCTTGCTTGGAACAGCAGCTGTTTTCTATGCGTGACCTGTTGTGGTCAATGAGTATATATTTGTGGATGAATTTGTTTTCTTGGTAAGCACGCATTTCAGATGTGACCACATACACAGGGAGCTGAGGAGCACAGATCTGAAACCCCCATCACAGTCATCAGAGGCCATGTGCCCACTTGTCCTGCTCTCTCCTTCTGCTGCACAGGATGAGGGCTTCCCAAGGTCCACAGTGACCTTGACCTCCACTCATTGTGCACTGTCTTCCTGTTTTGCCATGTTGTCCCAATTAGAAGAACACATTATATTGTGAGTAAAAGCCAGACAACTTCACTAACACAACACACCTCTAAACTCAAAATGCAAAGAGAAAAACCAGGATCTTACCAACTGACTACACAATGTTTCCCTGCCCTTGGCTGAAAAGAGCTACAGCAAATAATTCTCCAACTCATCAGCATCTTTCAAAGGTAGATCTCGCAAGCAAATTACCTTCTCCAGGTCTCATGAAAATGTACAACAAACACAATGACTTTACAAAGACAGTTCCCACCAAGACATAAAACAATTGCAGTGACAATTCCCACCAGAGACATAGAACCATCAGTGACAATCTTCTCCTGAGACACAGGACCACCCAGTAACAATTCCCACTGAGATACAGAACCATGGTAGCAATGTCCCCTCCAGGTTGTCCATCCTCCCAGAGCCCTGATTCTGCATTATCACTCAGAGCTGTACCCACTCTTCTAAGCTTCATTCTTCTGCCAGGTGGGGGAATGGGTGGGTTTGTAATTCAGCTGTATTTTCTCCTTTTTCTTGAAGGGAACAGTATGTAGCCAAAAATACTCACAAATGCTTCCTTGTTTTCACAATGGAGAAAATGGTTTATTTACATGCTCACTAAGATGGCAACATGAGACAGTGGAACTAAGGTCCTATCCCTTCCCTGGGGTGCCTCCTGGGTTCTGGAAGTCTCTAGACACAGCCCAGATCTCAGAAACACACACACCCTGTGTGGTTGTGGCCCCTGCAGAGAACACACCGCTAACATTGAGAGGACTTCACACACTCAGACTTGCAAGGGCTGTGCAGCAGCATGTTGGCCTGAGGCCTCCCAGGTGGCCCTGCCCCCAGCGGCTCCTGCTGTCCTTGGGCTTCTGTAGCTGTGCCCTGGCTCCTCCTCAGGCGTCAGTGCTCTCTAAGAATCCAATTCTCCTCCTCCCTTCCCTAACCACCCACAGCTGCACCTCCAAAAGAGGCCCTCCCTACAGATGACAGACTGGAAGACCAGTAACGAGGGACAAAAGTTAGCTGCTTTAAAATAGCACAAAAGCTGTTGTTTAGTTCTGAAAGTCTTATGAATTCTATAGTTACTTTTTTTTTTAATGGGTAGACATCCTAGTCAGGGCAGGGGCAGAACCGGGGCACGTGGAAGCCTGGTGAAAAAGGTTCTCTGCTTAGTGTAAAATCTGCCATGCAGTGTGGACTGTAGACTGGATCCAGTGCCTTGGTATGTTGGTGGAGACCAACTCTGATACTATTCAGTTTCCCAACTTCCAACTGGTGTGAGTGACACCTTGCTGTGCAAACCCCATCAGTGAGTCAGAGGCCCGGGAACTGCTGATTAACTGCCTCTTCTGGTCTGCTTTCCATGACAGCCCCTCAGTATGTAGCTGGTGGCTGCACTAAAGGCCAGGCCATGTGCGGCTGAGGACTGTCTTTCTAGTTTTCTGGGGTTTGTTTGATTTTTCAGGCCACATAGAACAGCAACACAAGCTTCGGGTGACCATGTGTACCCAGGATAACACAGATACCCACAGGGCAGAAACTTTAAACCTCGCACATTTCAGCCACCTCTCCATAGATGGTGACCATACTGAGCTCTGTCAGACATTTTGCAGCATGGAGACATGCAGACAGAGACAGGCATTAGGCTCATGAGCCAGGCCCAGGGTCTGGATTGAACTCCCAGGGTCCCCATGAGGGATTGCACAGTACCATCAACTCAGCTATTCATCACATTGCTGGCAGGTTCTCACTGTGCATCTCCTGGATTTAATTGTTCGGGGGGAAGGGCAGGGGGAGGGGGAGGTTGTTCTCTCAGTACTTTCAACCAATGATACTAACAGGGTAAAGGAAATAATTTATTTGAACAGAATCCCTCTGAGTATGAGATGCAAATTTTATAGGCGATGAAACCTTGTTAATCTTTAGGTATCGGGTGTGGTTTTGGTAGTAATTCTTACATCTGTATTCTACTGTATAGGCATAATTTTCTAAGAGTTAATACTTGTGAACAACTCTGGATTCAAATAACTCATTTCTTTCTACATCGCAAGCAACTTTTAACTTTCAGTATGCCACAAACACGTGAAGGCCACCAGGACCTGCGGTGCTCATGGCCCTACTGCCGCAATGGGTCTCACTCACATCTTATCCTGAGTCTGAGTCAGCCTGACAGGCACTGAATTGTGCTAATGTGCAGCACACATCTCCTCACAAAATGCCCCGTTCTAGTCTTCATTTATTCAAAGCTGAACAATGAGGCCCTATCCCTAATTCTACACTATAAAGTTTTGGAAACGAATCTTACAAAGGCTAGAATTCTAAAATAAAAACAACCTTGTCGTTCTGTCCTTAACCAATCCCTCTAATTGTGTTATCTCTAAAACTGAGCCTACGTCTCTAAAGGATGGAACTTCCAGCCACCCCAGGTAAAAGCAACGAAGAGGACAATGGCTTAAAATGTCTAAGACTGTGACTGATCCTCAAGTCAATTTTTAAAAATGAAAATCTGCCATCTAAGCTGAAAATAAAAATATTGTGGAGTTGACCAGATGATTCAGGGGCAGGACAGAAAGGGATGAGGAAGTCCTAAGAGAGGAAAGGGACTTCGAGAGGAAGGGAGAAGGCAGGAGGGTGAGGGCAGTGCTAAGAGGAGGGAGCTGATATGTTCAGGTCAGAGGACAAGTTCTTTGGCTTCATTCTTTGTGTTTTTTTCCTGAATAGCCTCCTTAAGCTCCTCAAAACGGCAACACTGAGCTATTCAAGATGTCGAGAAATGCCTGCTGGAGTGGACAGAGCGTCACTCTCTCATTGTGTTGCTCCTCAGGCTGTGCTGGGCTCTGCCTGCCTGGGCTCCATGGCAACTGTCATGTGACCCCACAAACAGCCCTGCCTTGCCGCCTCTCTCTGAAGTAAGCCAGTGATCTGAGATGCACAGAATCCCCCTGCTGACCTCCTCCTGTGCCAATGGGAACCTGCAGAGAGCCTGGGAGAAGGCTTACCAGGACCACAGGAAAAAGGTAAGAAGGTGTGCTAGCCCCACGTTTGGGATGAGCCTTGAGGTAGATTCAGAGATGGGTGGTGGGGAAGGTGTTCCTGTCAGGGACCATCCCATATGTTGCCAGGCAACAAGACTTCAATTAGATATGGTTTTCTTGTGCCACGTTTTAGGGCCATCCTGTGTTGGGTTACAGCATACATTTCTAATGTATCTAATTTCCCTAAAAATACTTGAACTCGTCTTAAGACAGAAAGACCTATGTGGGGTTTTGCTTGCTGTCAAGGCTGCAGAGGGGACTAAAAGCTAGCCTGTACCTCAAGGAGATAGACGACTGTTATCCCCATTCATTCAGTGAGAATGTGGACACTTCTTATGGTGGTTGCCATATGGTTTGGGCCAGCTGCCTGGCCTTCCACACACACAGCCCCCTGGGTCATCTTCTCACCATGTCTGTGTGTCCTCACCATGTCTGCGATAAGGGTAGAATCATTCAAGACAGGGAGCTTGCAGTTCTGGGCCTGGGGTGGGTTACTTCCCTGCAGTGGTCTCCATCCATTGCCCCAAGGACTGATCCTAAGGTCAAGCCTTTCTCCTCCCAAGGTTTCAGGTGACACCTTTGGCCAGGCTGTGGGTGACACTGTGAAGGGTCACAGTTGTCCCAGCTTCACATGGTCCTTGCTGTCCTCTGCCCCCTCTCTTTCCAGGGCCCAAGTTCACTTCCTTAGACCTCATTTCCAAGGCCACCTCCCCAGAAAATTTTCTCCACCCCTCCTCTAAGAAGCACACCCATCCTCTGATTCCTTGCTGTCTTCCACCATCATATCAGATGCACAGGTCATGATCTATATGCTGACCATTCTCTGTTCAACACAATGTTCTTAGCCCAGAATTACCACCTGGTAAAGAGCTGTCACTAGGGAGACACTGGGAAGGGCAGGAAGGGCCATGGCACTTTAGTCAAGCGATCATCAAGGTTGCGATTTGGGGCTGGCACAAACCCTGCATGAGATAGACAGCCAGCAACACCCTAGCTGTTGTGTGTGTCCAGGTTCAGCACATGGCACTCTGTAAGGCAGAGAAATTTTGGAATGGCTACTGTGGGAATTGGAAGACTGATGGAGCAGCAAGACTTACTGAGGTGGACAGGAGGAACAGTGGCTCACAGCACTGACCATGAAGCTCCATGATTTCCCAGAAACTTATAGTTGTAGGGCCAGGCTTGTGGTTGCTGAAGCACCCAACATGGCTCATGACCAGCAGGGTGCAGGGGCTGCAAACCCATGATCCCATCATGAAGCTGCTAAACGGAAGGAAAGTGCATCTCAGTGGGAGGGAAGAAGTAAAGCCTGAGAAAGGAAGCACAAGAAAAGGAAGTCACACATGGTCAAGGAAACAGTCTTGGGCACAGCTGACAAGAAAAGAGGAAGAGGAGGTTGTGGGTGAAGGATGGGATAACTGAGAGCCCAGTCTCTAAGCAGGGAGGCACCAGGTGGAGGAGTACCAGGCAGGGAGGTGCCTGGTGAGGGAGGAGGTACCAAGGGAGGGAGGCACAATGAGGGAGGTGCCAGGAGAGGGAGGTACCAGGTGACAGTGGGGGGTAGGGGGAGGCACCAGACAGGGGAGGAGAGGTTGCTGGAGGGAGTGGAGAGGTCAGAAAGTAAGGATGTAAGGAGGTCTGAGAATAAAGGATGGTGAGCTGGCAGTACACCAAGGAGATGGAAACAGGGCAAGAATGTGCCTAGATGCCAAGGGCCCCACTGAATGAGGAGAGGCCTGAGCAGGTGGGAAAGGGGAGAGGAGGAGCTGGATCTAGGAGCAGCACTGGACAGCAGTGCCCCTCTACTGCCCCAAATGTAACTACTTCAAGTAGTTAGTGTCATTGCTTTGCTGACCATCCCTGCAAACACAAGGGATTTCACAGAACACTATGCCCCAAACCCCAGGGCACCCCAGGGGCATCACTAAAACCAGGTGTCTCACCCCTGCCCTGGCACCTCAGCAGGTCTGAGCTGCTCTCCCATCCTTCCCTCCACTCTTCAGTGGGTACCTGTCATGGCAGTCAGGCTGGCCATGCCCCTCAGGGCCCCTCTGTCCTGCCCACTGCCTCTTTCAGAAACATCTCTTCCCCTACCTTGTTGAGGGAGGAGTCTCTAATCCTGAGGACACAGCAGTAAAGCCCATCATCTCTGTCTGTTCTGCTGCTGTAACAAGACTCCTCAGAATGGGTGATTTATAATTAGTACACATTCACAGTTCTGGAGGGGGGAAGTCCGTGACTCAGGCCCTAGCATATTTGGTGTCTGGTGAGGACTGCTTCCAAGATGGCTGCTTCCAAGATGGCATCTAGTTGCTGGGTCCTCAATGGCAGAAGAGAGGGAGGGCCAGGAAGCTTTTTGTTGCCTCTTCTATAAGAACTTTGTCTTATTCATGAGGAAGAAAACCTTGTGACTTAATCACTTCCCCAAGGCCACCACAAGGGGGATTAAGTTTCAACATGAATTAGTGGAGGGATACAAACAAACTCTAGCAACCTCCAAAACTGAAAAGCAAAGAGAACAAAGACTGAAGAAAAAGCAGAATATCCAAGCACAGTGGAATATGTGACTGAGAGCCCAGTCTCTGAGCAGTGGCCACTCCAGGCAGGGAGGCACCAGGTGGAGGAGTACCAGGCAGGGAGGTGCCTGGTGAGGGCACCACAAAAGGTACAATGTTCGCAAATGATAATACTAGAAGGAGAAGCAAGAAAGGAATATTAGAAGCAATAATAAATGAGAATTTCCTGCAAACTCACATCAGACACTAAGGAAGAGATCTGGGAATTTCAGAAAATGCCCAAAAGGATGAAGATCTAAAAATGATGTGTAGGCATGTCATTTTCAAATCTTAGAAAAATCAACGATAAAGAAAAAATCCTAAAAGAAGCCAGAGGGAAAGAACCTTACCTGCATAGGAACAAAGATAAGATTTACATCCGATTCCTCAAAAACCATGCAAGCAAGAAGAAAATGGAGCTAAATAGTGTTTGGGATTGGGGAAGGTGGGAAACAATCCAGAATTCTGTGCCCTGAAAAATTATCCTTAAAAACTAAAGAAGTGAAGACTTTCTCAGACAAACGAGGACAGTGGTTTGTTGTCAGCAGACCTGCCCTGTAAGAGATGGTAAAAGAAATTCTCCAAACAGGAGGAAGATGATACAGGATACAGGTCAGAAACCTGGTCTGTGTAAAGAAAGAGACAGCTTTAGAGAAGAAATTACTGAAGGGAAAAGAGAATCTTTCCTTTTTTTTTTTTTTTTTTCTTTTTTCCCAAGACAGAGTCTGGCTATATTGCTCAGTCTGGTTCCTGTGTAGCCCAGGCTGGCCTTGAACTCTCAATCCTCCTGTCTCAGCCTCCCAAGTGCAGGGATTACAAGCATGTACCACTACCCCTGGCCTTATTTTTCTTCTTCTTACTTGATATAACAGAGGAGAACTTTGTTCATAATAGTAGTAGAAATAAAGGATTGGATTATGTACACTTGCTTTACACAAGTAAAATGCATGGCAGCAATGACAGAAGGGACAGGATGGAAACAGCAGAAGTGTTTTTGTTATTATAAGACACTCACACCACCCATGACATGGTATAGTGCTGTCTGAAAGTGGATTTGTAAATATATGTTGCCAACTCTAGGGCAACCAGTAAAAAAAGTAAAAAACAAACTGATGAGCTAAGAAAAGATTGAAATGGAATCATAAAATGCTCAATTAAAATTGCAAAAGGCAGAAAATTAGTGAAAGACAAAAATAGGAACAAAGGATAAGAAAGTATGGTAGATACTAACCCAAGGTATCAGTGACCACTTTGAATGTCAACAGTCTAAATGTACCAATTACAAGATAGAGATTATCAGAGGGGATCAAAAAATAAAACCCAACTAAATGTTGTCCATAGGAGTGGGTGGTAAGGGAGGGGGGTGGGGGCAGGGGGGAGAAATGAACCAAGCCTTGTATGCACATATGAATAATAAAAGAAAAAAAATGTTGTCCATAAGAAACGCTCTTAAGTATAAAGATGTATAGATTACAAGTAAATAGATGGAGAAAAATAAAACATGTTAACACTAATCAAAAGAAAGTAAGAGTAGCTATTATCAATTTTAGAGGAGTAGACTTCAAATCAAGAAAAGTTATCGCGGATAAAAGAAAAAGCATAATTATAACAGGGTCAGTGCTCCGTAAAGACACAGCAATTCCTAATGTGTAGGTACTTAACAAGAGTGTCACCCTATACAAAGAAAGACTGACAAAAGTGTAAGAAGAAATAGAAGAATCAGAGGAGGAAGGAAGGGGGGTCAACAGGGCAATGGAGGGTGAACATGGTCAAAGTCCATTGTGTGTAAGCATAAAATGTCACAATTAAGCCTGTTATTTTTGTCACAATAAGCCTGCTCTTTTGTACAGTTATATACTAATTTTAAAAAAGAAATAGATGAATTCAGTATCAGCGCTAGAAATTTTAACTCCCTCTATCAGAAATGGATAGATACAGCAGGCAGAAAACCAGTAGGAAGATATTTGAACTCAGTAACACCATTAGTCAATGGGATTGACCTCTGAAGACTGCTTCATCTAACCACAGCACAGTCTGCATTCTTCTCAAACATTTACCAGGATAGATCACTTTCTAGGCCATAAAACCCATCTTAATAAATGTAACCGGACAGAAATCATACAAAGTCTACTCTCAGACTTGAACTAGAAATTAGTAACAGTGAGATGGCTAGAAACCCCCAAACACTATAAATTGAATAATGGGTAAGGAAGAAGCCTCAAGAAAAATTTGAAAATATTTTGAGCTGAATGAAAATGAAAACACAGCTTCTAAAACTTCACGGTTGCCATGGAAACAGTGCTTAGAGGGAAATTCAGATCATTGAGCACATGTATCAGAAGAGAAGAGCCAGGTGCTGTGGCTCATGCCTGTGATCCTAGCTGCTTGGAAGGCTGAGATTGGGTGGAGAAATTATCCCAACTCTAT